TACAAAAACAAGATTGCATTTGAGAAAAATGCTATGCCACCGCATTAATACAACACTAAATAGTAGTGTAGGAACAGATATTTTTTGTTTCTATACAATTGAAGATTGTCATAATGCATAGATCCCTGACCTATCTAATTCTTATCATCAGATTAGTGGTTGAATCTATTGTTAATCCAATAAAAGATCAGAGTAGGAATATATCAATGCACTTGAGTCTGGTGAATTTGGTGGTGAAGGTAATATTTTCACACAGCCTAAATTTCATGACTCTATCAATGGACAACACAGTAAGACACTTTGTTAAAATCTAAATCCAGCTGATATCAAAGTTCACTTTACATCTTAATCTGTGCACATGGTTCAAATTTCATAGCTGTACATCAAAGGACAAGAAAGTAGGTCACATCATCAAAATCTAGATCACCTGATATCAAAGTTCAATTTTACAACTTAAACTGTGCACATGGTCAAAATTTCATTGCTGTACATCAAAGGATAAGAAAGTAGGTCACTTTCCCCTTGGGCAAGGCAAAATTTTGACCCAAGGGTTTAATTCAAAACAATCTTGATACAGGTCCACCAAACAACATTTCAAGTCAAATATCTAAGCTGTAGCTTTCTTCCATTCAGAAAACATTTGTTTTATTTTCTGTTTTTACTATGTGTACATAATGAGAATCACTGCCTCCGGGCAGGGCCAATTTTGACACCAAGGGAAAAATTTAAACAACTTTGGTAGAGGACCTATAGATGATATTATATAGCAAAGATCAAAGCTCTATGCCTTGTTTCTTCAGACAAAAATATTTTTTTTTTTTTTTTTTTACTATATGTACATAATGAAAATCAATGACCCCCGGGGTGGAACCAATTTTGACCCAAGGGCTTTAATTTGAACAATCTTGGCAGAGGTTCAAATCGCAAAGTCTAATGCCATATATTTAACCTCTAGCCTTTGTCAATTCAGAGAAGAAGTTTTTCAAGTTTTTACTTTATACATATAAGGAAAACTATCGCCTCTGGGGCAGGGCAATTTTAACACTAGGGGCATAATTAAAACAACTTTAGTAGAGGACCCATGATATTACATACCAAATATAAAATCTCTAGGCCTTGTACCTTCAGACAAGAAGTCTTTTTTTTTACTATATGTACATAGTGAAAATCAATGACCCCTGGGGGTGGGGCCAATTTTGACCCCAGGGCTATAATTTGTACAATCTTGCTAGAGGTTTACTACACAATGTTTCATGCAAAATATCTAACCTCTAGCATTTGTCAATTGCTAGAATTTTTTTAAAGTTTTAACTATAAGTTTTTACTATATACATATAAGGAAAACCAATGACCCCCGGGGCGGGGCCGATTTTGACCCTAGGGCTATCATTTGAACAATCTGGGTAGAAGTCTACCAGACAATGCCTTATGCAAAATATCTAAACTCTAGGCCTTTTGGGTCTTTACAAGAAGGTATTTTAAGTTTTTACTATATGTACATATAGTGAAAATCAATGACCCCCGGGGCGGGGCCGATTTTGACCCCAGGGCTATCATTTGAACAATCTTGGTAAGGGTCTACCAGACAATGCCTTATGCAAAATATCAAAGCTCTAGGCCTTTTGGGTCTTTACAAGAAGGTATTTTAAGTTTTTACTATATGTACATATAGTGAAAATCAATGACCCCCGGGGCGGGGCCGATTTTGACCCCAGGGCTATAATTTGAACAATCTTAGTAGAGGTCTACCAGACAATGCTTTATGCAAAGTATCTAAGCTCTAGGCCTTTTGGGTCTTTACAAGAAGATTTTTTAAATTTATTCTTATAATTCCTTTTGGTTGCCATGGCAACCAGATTTCTGCATGGAATGAAATTCTTTGAACAACTTTGGAAGCCCTTCACCCAAGGATAAATCCTGCCAAGTTTGGTTGAAATTGGACCAGTGGTTTTTCACAAGAAGATGTTTGAAGTTCACTATATAATCTATATAACACACACACACACAAACAAACAAACACACACACACACGCACACACAGGTGAATCGCTATATGCCACCGCATCGCAGATGCTGCGGTGGCATAAAAATATGATATCAAATTGTGTACTGAAAATTTTCCATCCCACTGAAGGTAAAATAAACAAGATTGCATTTGTAAAAAATGCTATGCCACCGCATAAATACAACACTAAAATACTAATTTAGGAACAAAAAGGGCTTTAATTTGAATAATCTTGCTAAAGTTTCACTACACAATGTTTACTGCAAAATGTCTCACCTCTAGCCTTTGTCAATTCGAGAAGGTGATTTTTTAAAGTTTTTACTATATACATGTAAAGAAAACCTATGACCCCGGGGCAGGGCTAGTTTTGACACTAGAGGCAAAATTTGAACAACTTTGGTAGAGTACCTATAGATGATATCATTTAACAAATATTAAAGCTCTAAGCCTTGTACCTTCAGACAATAAGATTTTTTAAATTTTTTACTATATGTACATAGTGAAAATCAATGACCCCCGGGGGTGGGGCCAATTTTGACCCCAGGGCTATAATTTGTTCAATCTTGCTAGAGGTTCACTACACAATGTTTCATGCAAAATATCTAACCTCTAGCCTTTGTCAATTTAGAGAAGATGATTTTAAGTTTTTACTATATACATATGAGGAAAACCTATGACCCCCAGGGCAGGGCTAATTTTGACACTAGAGGCAAAATTTGAACAACTTTGGTAGAGTACCTATAGATAATAACACATACCAAATATCAAACCTCTAAGCCTGGTACCTTCAGACAAGAAGGTATTTCAAGTTTTTACTATATGTACATCTAGTGAAAATCAATGACCCCCGGGGCGGGGCCGATTTGGACCCCAGGGCTATAATCTGAACAATCTTGGTAGAGGTCTACCAGACAATGCCTTATGCAAAATATCTAAGCTCTAGGCCTTTTGGGTCTTTACAAGAAGATTTTTTAAATTTATTCTTATAATTCCTTTTGGTTGCCATGGCAACCAGAATTCTGCATGGAATGAAATTCTTTGAACAACTTTGGAAGGCCTTCACCCAAGGATCAATCCTGCCAAGTTTGGTTGAAATTGGACTAGTGGTTTTTCACAAGAAGATTTTTTAAGTTCACTATATAATCTATATAACACACACACACACAAACAAACACACACACAGGTGAATCGCTATATGCCACCGCATTGCAGATGCTGCGGTGGCATAAAAATATGATCACTTATTTTAAGATGAAATGCAAAAAGTCACTGGTTTGTGAATTATGGGAGTGTCGTATAATCGGGAGTGTCTAATAAATGGGAATGTCTTATATGGGAGTGTCTTACAAGGGGGGAGTGTCTTATATGGGGGAGTGTCTTCTAAGGGGGAGTGTCTTATAAGGGGGAGTGTCTTATATGGGGGAGTGTCATATTAGCATTTATGTCTTTTAAGCAGTTATATATATATCTAATAATTGGATTTCTTTTAAGGATTTCTTTAAATTCAATAAAATGTCAATGCATATTTTTATCAATGTGAATATTGTAATTTTTTTTTCAATGTTTTCAAATAAAATAAATATTTTCTTGAGTTTTATTTTATGTACTTCCGTGTACTACTGTATTTAAATATCAGGATATATCAAAACAATATCTAGGTTATTAATATACCTCTTAAAATTTAAAGAAAAACAAAAACAACAAAACAATAACAACAAAATATATGAATTTTCTTTCATAATGAAAACAAACAAGCACTAATAAGTAACAAGCAGCTTTAGCTGTACAGTACATGTGATATTTCATTAAACAGATACTGAATGAGTGTCAGTTCAATATTGAATTTATTGAATGAGTTAAATATAATCATAGAATGGGAGCCTATTTAGACTGTCCAGCATACTACCATTTTATTCGCATACATTAAAATAAGAACTGTTTACAGAAAAAAAAAACACAAGAGATATAGACATGCTGACATAGGATATTACACAAACTTTTAGTATGTCTTTACATTATGTGGGTCTAAAATTACAATGTTTGTATAATACAAATGACATATCAAAATATATCCACCCTCGTAAAAAAACATTTTTTTTCCGATGTCGCAAAAGTGGCTTAGGTATGTTATAAATAATTTTGTAAACAAGTTTGTTTTTTTCCAATAAGTCGATGACTATCTTTCTTGTAAATCAAAAGGCAGCTGCTTCATTTTCTAATAGATAAAAATGTGACTTAAAGTTGACTTGACCTTCAGATTCCTCAATCAATGTTTGTTTTTCTTATTTACATCGAAAAAAAAAAGACAAACAAACAAAACAATTTGATTTCAACAGATGTTTAATGAAAACTTGAAAAAAAAGACGTCCAAGGACTGGGACAATATATGTCTTAAATTGAAATAACATGTGGAAAGCATAAATGTTTTACACTATTTATATTAAGGTAGTTAAGTGTCCACATGAGCTGAAGGTCACAATTTAATTACTTTTTATATTTAAACAGTATTATTTTTCCTGAGCAAGTCTGTTCAAAAGACACAAACAAGTCATCTGTAATATACATGTAGTAGAAAACAAAGCAACCTCATTTTAAAACATCACATCTCATTGGTCTATATCTTATGGTATTATCTGAAATTGACCAATAAACAAACAGAAATTCAAGAAGAAGTCATTTCATTGGTCAAGAGCTTGATCCTATCCATCAAGTAGATAAACAAACTTTGTCTTGAAACTTGTTTTAAAATCACATCATTTCATTGGCTCCTTCTTTGATTACAATATGAAATTGACCAATGAATTGACACTGATCTCAAAACTTTATCATCTCATTGGTTAACTTTTTGTTAACAATCTAAAACTGGACAATCTAAAGTTTAAGACTGTACTGCCTCATAATGACATTTATTTGAGCACTGAAGGAGGCAAACACAAGTGGCATGTGCATAATAAAGAACTGATGATGTATTAAATTTAAATCTTGCATCGTTATGCCTTTCTCCTTATAGTCTATCTTTCTCAGGAGTAAAAAACAATAATTACCAATTGATGTCTACCTTTCTTGGGGATAAAATAATAATAATAACATACTGAAATCTTATAACCTTTCTCGGGGAAAAATCGATATATGATTACATATCATAGCCTATGTGTGATAAAAATTGTTTTCATATGAATAATGACTTTAACTCATTAATTCAAACATTCAGTAGAACAACAACAGTGATTAACTTTCAAAATACATGTACACATAATTAAATGTATGTCTTTAAATTTGTTATTTCAAACATTTAATATAAATAATGATAACCCTTCAAAACACATATATTAACACATAGCTTTTTTTAATTATTTAAAAATGTTAGAAAAATATCATCTTATGAGCAAAATTATATTATTATAACACATGTTAATACAGGGACCACTATATGGAGAAATATTATCCTGCCAACCACCTATATACAGCATTATCTGTCTTAGGTTCCTCAGACATCGCGCTTGCTTGCTTAGCAATTACATAATTATAGTTACGCCCTCCATCATTTTCATAGTCTGTAACCATGGAAACACAATTCAATGACCATTTATTTGATCTCGTCTCAATTCCCTCATGTTCTTCACTTTGTAATCTAATTCATACAGTAAAACACAAGAACCTGCCATTTATAATATAACTAACTCTTGCAGTAAATCACGGCAACCTGCCATTTATCATATCTAACCAAGTATCAATTTCAAAGTTATCAACTTAAACCCTTTATCAAGAACATTCCCAGCAGTGACAGACGCTTCAAACAAACTATTTCTGTCTTCAGCTCTTCAATTGAAAGTATTTCATCAAACTTTCTTCCTTCACAAAGAAGAGTACCTTATACCACTATCACAGTTGTCTCCCTTTTTTTATTTCAATCAGTCTGACCTTCACACTCATCTGCATGTGTCTGCCAATGAGTAAGCTGGAAATAACAAGCAAAGAAATTTTATGAATGAGAGTGACAATATTAACTTATAATTATGTGTACCAATAATATTCCATAACCCAATGGAACAGAAAGTATGAAGCCTTTACCACTAGTATACATCCAGGTCAGCTTGTACACCGACTCAAGCAATCTAACCAGAGGTTATAGTACAAAATAGTACAAATAGTACAAAAATGCAGCAAAAATTCTTGTATACTTGTAACAATATTATCTTGATTTAAAACATATTAAAGTGCAACCTCAGCTGAACAACATCCTCAAGAAGACAAACAAAATTTTGTTGTTTCTGCAAGTCATTGCTCTACAGAGGTAAAATTTACTAAGAATTGTTATTTTTAGGATGACAGGTTACTGTTGTTGTAAAGAGTTAGCTGTTCTACAAAGGACCGTTTTGTAGAAGTTGCCTTGAACTCTTAGTAAAATTCATCCTCAATCAATTTTATGCTATAAAATTTCAACTTTCGAGATACTAGCCTTCTTTGTTCACACACTTGAATTTTATATCCTACTTAAAAAATATTTTCCCAGCCTTTTGAATTATATAAACTTATGACGCAAAATCATAGTTTTGGTACGGTTATATGGTTTGATGCGCAGTTAAACACTACTATTCATAGCTTTCTACAAATCAATGTAGAGTTTATCTTATCATCCATGTATTTTTATGTTTAAACTAAAAAAGTATAATTATCGCAAACTTGCACAACATAAACAATTTTTTAGTTTTTAGTTCACCCAAAACTTTATTATTGACGTTTTATTTTATAGAAGCTCACCTGACATTCTGGACTGCAATACCAGATTTTCTTGCAATTACTGCACAAATAGAGGGAGTATTTCCCGCACATGAAACATTCACCATGAACCTGTTGTAAATGAGGTAAGTCTTCCTCTTCCACGACCTTTGTTTCACCTTGACCTTCCGTACGACCCTGTGATACTAAAGGTAATACCTGAGTATTGGTGGCTGCTGATTGGTTTATTTGATTGACTGCTAAATTCAAAGGAATTGCACTCTGGGTAATCACATGAGTTGATGTTGTCATGGCAACGGAGGGCTGTGAATGAGGCACTACAGTTTGATTACTAGTATTTAAACCAGGAATGGTATAAAACTGCTGTTGTGGCATTGTCATTTGTCCACTTTTACTAACATTATTTGCTTGCGAATGCACAGAATTCTGATCCCTCCAATTGGAATTCTGAAACTGACCTTGACCTGCCTTGTTCTGCTGAAAGGTAGTTTGAACTCTTCCAACAGAATGACCTTGCCCAAATTGACCTCCAGGCACATGTGACATATTTGCTTGTAACTGTGACCTATTTTCAAGGTGACCTTGACCTTGCTGACTTTCAGTCATATAAGCCACAGCAGACGGCATCTGATTCATAGCATGACCTTGATTTTGCATATTTTGGGTATGCTGAGACAACGGCATACTAGTGGGAGTTGTTTTTGACTGCATTTGCATACTTTGGTTATACACAGGAGTTCTTTGAACCGAGTTATTTTTTGGCATTGTATTACTTTGCATTCCATTTTGCTGAAAATGAGTTTGTTGAGATGCCGAAGTAGACATCATATATGGAGTCGGCACTTTGTTTCCAGGCTCAGCCCTTTGCTGACCTTGATGTAGATGAACACCCTGTTGCACCTGAGGCTCTAAAATGGGAATCTGTTGAGGGTATGTGCTCGGTTGTATATGGGGCCCCTGTGGTCTGGCAGCATGAGGTAGTACTCCCTACAAGAATAAGAGATATAAATTTGAAACAAAACACATACTTGTTGTACTCAAACACTATAAAAAAGTCCTGTAAAATGTATTTATTTTTTGGACCTTGCAACCCCCTGTTGTCAACAATAGATTGTCCCAAGTTCATAGCTGGACAGATCATTATTAAAATTTTAGTGCAAGAAGGGTTAGTATGATGAACTTTATACAAAACGGGACTTCAATAGACAATTGTTTTTGTCACTTTACAAGTTAAACAAGAGGGCTATGATGGCCTTTATATGGCTCACCTGATTATGCAGACTGAATAACATTTTATTTGGGCTGTGTGTCATATTTTTGACCACAGAGGACCCAGATTCGAACTTGACCTAGAAATCACCAAAACAACCTTTCTGACCAATTTTAAGGATATTTGGATTAAAATTTTAGCCTCTAGAGTGTTAAAAAGATTTTTCTATTTCTAGCTCCTATGACCTAGCTTTTCATCCGAGATGACCCATGTTGAAAATGATCCTAGCAGTTACTTTAAGAAGCACCCTGACCAAGTTTGGTGATGATTAAGGCAAAAATGTGACCACTAGAGTGTTAACACACAAAACTAAATGTGAACTGACTATGAACAATGGACATATAACGACCCTAAAAGCTAAAAAGATCATGTATTAACACTTTTGGTTACCTAGTTAAACATTAACTAAACTAATTTCAAACTCAAAATGCTGACAATATCTATATTGCAAATAAAGGAAATATGTATGAATAAAAATAATGAAAGTATTAATAAAGCTAGATCTATCAGAAATCAAAAAAGTCAATCTTAGGTATAAACTTATGAATAAAAATTTACAGAAGCTGGCTATCTAACACAAGATGTCCGGAAAAGCATTTTTACACATAATTGGCCTCAAGGTTAATATTAAACTTTTCCTGAATTCTGCCTCATATCTCAGGGCTTTCATTGGTCAGTGTGCATTCTGTGTCAATTTCTAACCAGTCAGATAGATACCTGAGATCTGAGTATGAGTTAAGAGTTAAGAGAATTCCAGCTTTGCTGGACCAAAAAATGATGATGTCATCTGAGTTACGAAATGCCATGCAGTCTGGCCAGGTTCAATACTGTCATGGAGAAATTTCCCTTCAAGCAACATGCACACATATATTGCGGGGTAATATATTAAGGAAACAAGCAGTGCAATAAAAACATGCATTTACATATAGCCAGTAAAATGAAATCTTAAAGAAATCTGCTTTCTAAGTCATTCTCGAAAAAAAGCTTGTCATAGTTAAAGTATGATTGTATTGCTTTCATAAATCAATTTTTTTTATTTATTTTTTTAGAAATTTTACATAGGACAAACTCATCATATCAATGCAAAATGCTCCACTGACATAGTTATAAAAATATGTGCCAACAACCTGCGCTAATTGTGCCATATATATATATATATATATGTATATTTTATATAAGGGATATAGAAATTTATCACAGACTTTCGAAACAAGACAGAATAATACACAGTGTATGACAATACTGTTCAGATAAACTAACAAAATACATGCAACAGCTCACCAAGATAAAACGTTATTTATTACACATGTTTCTATTATACACGCACAATATCTAAACAGGATAGAACAGAATAGAACAATGATGACAATGGTACGTTGATTGGACAGATTTTACACAATCGGCATGACCGATTAACAATTCCTGGTAATCGATTAACAATTCATGGAAATCGGTTACTGAATCAAAACAGGAATGTGGAAACGCTGATTTTTATCTTCTCTTTATTAAATACAGTCTTGAATAAAGTTCATTCTCAGGTCTGCAAACTGTGTGTGTATTATAAAACTATAATAGAAGCAGAAAAATTGTTTGTATCTAGATTAAGATCACACCTTTGTAAAGTTCTGATAAAGCAGATGTTGCTTTTATGTTAAAATCAATCATCATCATCATCATACCTACTTTCATTAGGGAACAGACTGTTTACACATATTTAAATAATTTTATACTACAGGACAAGATACTCTATAGCTTTTTTGTTTGTGTTTTTTTGTTGTTAATTTAAAACTCATGTTTAACAGGGTCAACATTATACCGTGGGCTCATTCATATATCATATCCCTTCTAAAATTTATATACCAATGATATCAAGCAGAAAGAATAACTCATCAATGATATCTGAAGCAGAAAAATTATTCATCAATGATATCAAGCAGAAAGATAATTTATCAATGATATCAAGCAGAAAGATTATTCATCAATGATATCAAGCAGAAAGATTATTTATCAATGATATCAAGCAGAAAGATTATTCATCAATGATATCAAGCAGAAAGATTATTCATCAATGATATCAAGCAGAAAGATTATTCATCAATGATATCAAGCAGAAAGATTATTCATCAATGATATCAAGCAGAAAGATATTCATCAATGATATCAAGCAGAAAGATTATTCATCAAAGATATCAAGCAGAAAGATTATTCACCAATGATATCAAGCAGAAATAGTATTCATCAATGATATCAAACAGAAAGATATTCATCAATGATATCAAACAGAAAGATTTTCATCAATGATATCAAGCAGAAAGATTTTCATCAATGATATCAAACAGAAAGATATTCATCAATGATATCAAACAGAAAGATTTTCATCAATGATATCAAGCAGAAAGATATTCATCAATGATATCAAGCAGAAAGATTACTCAGCAATGATATCAAGCAGAAAGATTATTCATCAATGATATCAAGCAGAAAGATTATTTATCAATGATATCAAGCAGAAAGATTATTCATCAAAGATATCAAGCAGGGCTAATTATTTCCCAAATAAAATAAGAAGTTGTGTAAGCTGATATAAGAGTGAGCTTCAAAAGAAAGAAAATACAAAACTGGAAATGCAGGCTTCCTTAAAGAAATGTAGCTTAAGCAAAACCTTGTTTTTCCAACTTTCATTATTCAGTTTCCCAAACAAAACAGCAAACTTAAACCTTATAATATGAGGTAATTCTTTAATTACCAGAACCTTCAGAATCTTTTAAAGCTTTAGAACTTGATATAAGAAAGCTTATAATATCTAAAATCCCAAAAGAATTTAGACATGCTAAAATAATGGTAATATAAAAATGTTCTTGCAGACTTAAGGACCACTCTACAACCAGAAAATTCATATTTACCGTCCAAATCCATGCGGCTTTACAGAATAAAAGACACAGTAATAACATATCTCAAGGGGAAAATAAATAAAAAAAATTATATAACAAAACTAATGCTAAGGAACTGGCATAAACTGTAATTATTTTTTCAATTAAAAAAAATAAAAATTGATTTCTTTTGTTTATAAAAGTTACCCATAAGCACTTTGAGAATAAAATATATTAAAAGTCTGCGGACAAATATATTATATGATAATCATATTTTCTTATTTTAATAGAATTAATTGATATCATAGATTATATCAAACATATTAAAACAATCATATTAAATGAATTTTCCTTATATCAAAAAAATGATGGGGAATTTCTTTTTCTTTTTGCCATAGCATGATTGGGAATTATTTTCCCATAGCATGATTGTGAATTTTCTTTTCTCATAACATGATTGTGAATTTCCTTTTCTCATAATAACATGTTTGGGAATTTCCCCCATAGCGTGATTGGTAATATTTGCAACATTTTCAGGTGATGACCTAGAAATATCCCTCATGTAATTCTGTTCATCTACATGTCAGTCATGTATAACTTAAAATTTCCCACCAAAAGATCAAAACATCAGCTTGTCATCTCTGTGCATTGTATTTAATGTGTGTTTTGTAAACAAAGAGGATCTTATGAAAAAAAATTTAACATTGTTTTGTGCTGTATCTGAATGCAATTTTGTTCTAAATCTTCATAAAATTCATCCATAATTTGTATGTAAAAGTTAAATCAGGTAAAAATTTGTCCAAAAAAAAAATGATGGCGACTGACCTTTAAATCATAAAAAAAAAAACAAGCAATGAATAAAACTGATTTTTCATTTAAAACAAAGCACACACTCACAGACACACATAAAAAACAACCCCAAAAAATTTATACTTCACTCATTAAATATTCAATTTCAATCAAAGATCTGCCTTTTAAACTCATGACTTATTAAAGTACTGCTTTGTTGGGGTACTGCAATCCAATGTAATTTATGTACAAATAATAAGTAAAAATCATATTTATAAAAAAATATCTTCATTTCAAGGTGGGATAAGCAAATGCATTAATATATAATATATATATATGAGCAAAAAGGAGGGGCTTACAGATTAATAAATGAGAAATTTCAATCAATAGAATGCCCCACATTTCTAACCAATTTTAGGTGGGCATACATGTAGCTTATTTTAATTCTACGGTTCTTATTTTACAGTACATACTAGCAATAAAATATTGTCACATGACAAAACATTTGGTTAAGCAATGCTCTGTTAGCTAACGCCTTTTGCGCAACTATGATCCCAATACTATTAAATTCAACATACAATGAGAGTTGGCTAAATGGGTGGAGTGAATACTCGATAAAATAATGATAATGATTGTCTTCTAAATTCTTCATGCATAAGTAAGCTTCAGTCAGGCAGGCTTCTTTGCTTCAAAATTAACTTATTTGTTTGATTAGGTTTTACGTCACACCGACACAGTATAGGTCATATGGCGATGCTCCAGCTTTACTGGCCGTGGACCTCAGGTGTCCTTCCGTGCATTATTTCAGACAAGAACAGGCATCTGAGTAGAACCACCAACGTTCCATAAGCTAGCTGGATAGCTTCCCCACATGAAAGAACGGGATTGTAACCCACAGCCGTGAGGAGAAAATTAACTTATTAAGGGCATGACTGGTGACATTTCAGGGATACATACATGTACCCTATAGCCAAAGCTATGTTTTGTGACCGAGACGTGAAGATTATTAAAACCGGTGTAAAAACCGGAAAGCCAAACATACAAACATTTAAGTTGTCCCGGCTTTACTAGGTAAATGCTGAATCACCCATGTTTTAATTATTAAACAATTTTGATAGGGATATAGCCTAATTGACATTGAACGGAATTGGCTGGTATTTTAGGTCGCAGTCCAAACTATTATCAGTCAATGGACTGGGGGCTAAAATTAGAACTGGTGCATTTTTTTTTTTGGGGGGGGGGGGGGGGGGGCTCTTGAAGAATAACATTTTGATATCCTTGTTTGTTTGTTTGTTTTGGGTTTTACGTCACATGGACATAGTATAGGTCATATTGCGACGTTCCAATCTTTATGGTTGAAGGAAGACCTCAGGTGCCCTTCTGTGCATTATTTCAGGCATGAATGGGCACCTGAGTATAACCACCGATGTTCCATAAGCTAGCTGGATTATATAAGCTACTTCAAATGAAAGAATCCAAAGTCCCTGTTGGGATTCGAACCCACAGCAGTGAGGGGCAAGTGGGTTTGAATCTCTACAGGGACTTTGGATTCTTTTGCTATCCTTGCAGGTATATACTATAAGGAGTTACAAATTTAAAGTGTGTTCAATAGAGCCTTGATCTATTTCTTTACATAGCTAGATTCCTACATTATCTTAAGTATCTATTGTACTGTGAATTCACTTTAATTCATGGGTATGAAATTTTGTTGTCTTATCAAGAAACATGTTATTTTCTATTCTTAAATTTGTGTATTGTGTTTGTGCAAAAAAGTAAATTGCAAATAAAAAAAAAATATAACTGAACAGCAAATGAAATAAGATCTTTTGTGGATTATGTCCAACAAATAACAATGATTATGCAGTATTTGATGGTCCAAAAATCTGTAACAACATTTTATTGCCTACATACAAAGAATGGGGTATGTCTGGTTCTAGATATTCTTATATGCAGGTCTAGTTCCCTTTGGCTGCAAGCAATTAATTTCATTATCAACTTACTATGCCTTTAGTGTAAAAAGAAAAAAAATAGGTAGAACTGAATACAACAGATTTGATAGAATACAATTTGAAATTTTAGAACTGAACAATAAAAAGCAACAATATGCATGTCATTTCCAAGAGACAAGTACAGAATGCTGTTTAAGATAAAGGACTCAAACATTTAGTAGTAAGATTGCACATTTAAAAAAGAACCTAAAGAAATATTTTACACAGAATCATTTTACTCATCTTACCATATTAAATGCAGCCATTTGCTGGGTACCCATCATTTTCTGCTGGGAACCAATCATTTGCTGTGAGCTTGTCATTTGCTGGGGACCAATAACTGGCTGGGGACCAATCATTTGCTGAGGACCAGTCATCTGCTGGGAACCAATCATTTGCTGAGGACCAGTCATTGGCTGGGGAGCGATCATTTGCGGGTGACCAAGGGTTGAATTGGCATGATGATTCTGCTCTATTGCCCCTTGTTGAGTCCTGGCATCTGGCATTCTAGATCCTTGCTCGAACCCAACACCTTGCTGTGCACGATTTTGTATCTGCTGAGAACGGATATGCTGGGCTCTTATCTGTTTCATCTTTTGAAATCTCTGTTCTTGTGTCAAAGAAGGTGGCACCTGGGATGGAACTAAAATCACAAAATCATTTTCTTGTATAATTACTGACATCAAATTTCAAATGTATCATATATATTCAAAATATTGTACCTAAATGAGGCAAATGAAACTAAATGTTAAATAAATTTTCTCAGAAAGACACTCAGATGCTAAAGTTAGGAGCAAAGTCAAATGTCAAAAATACATGTCCTTGAGAAACTGATGCATGCATCTACATCATTAAATTTTCTGAATAAAACAAAGATATAAAACTGACTTACAAAGACAAATATTATAAGAACAAAAACAGTATTTACCATGTACTTGATTGTCTGAAGGCATAGGAGACCTTTGGAAACTGTTTGCTGAAGAATGAGTTGGTGGAGGTATACCATTGGGACTAATTAACTGTGGACTGGTACCACCTATCATTTGAGAACCATTCCCTCCTGTATACATCACTTTCTGGTTAAATTCTCCCGTTTGCATCATTTGATTATTTGGAGTCTGCATCACTTGGAGGCTTGGACTTTGATTCATCTGTGTGCCCATGCCTCTTTGCATTGCATGTGGACTAACACTACTATTGAATTGAGGGCTTGTCATTCTTCTCTGCATGAGTTGAGGGTTAACCTCTCCCCTTTGCATGATTTGAGGACTAACCTCTCCCCTTTGCATGATTTGAGGACTAATCTGTCCCCTTGGCATCATTTGAGGGCTAATTTGTCCCCTCTGCATCATTTGAGGGCTGATTTCACCCCTCTGCATCATTTGTGGGCTGATTTCACCCCTCTGCATCATTTGAGGGCTGATTTCACCTCTCTGCATCATTTGAGGGCTCCTTTCTCGCCTCTGCATCATTTGAGGGCTCACTTCTCTTTGTAAAAGTTGAGGGTTTGTTTCAACTCTCTCCCTCTGCATCATTTGAGGACTGATATTTCCCCTCTGCATCATCTGGGAGCTTGCATGTGGTTGCTGTAGCAACTGATGTATTTGAGTTTGATTCTGTGTTGTTGTATAAGTTGGCATACTTTGCCCTCTGATAGGATAACCTGTCTGTGGTATACTGCTCATATGACCAGGATCTGGATGCTGCATCCTTGGATTACCTTAGTAAAGAAATAAATTAATATGCAATTTAATGGAACTGAAAACATGTATGTTTTTCCCAATCTAAAATTCAATTTTCTAAATACAGGACACAATCAAATTATCAGGAGTGTGTATACTTGTTTTTCCAATCAATACATTGATACAAAGCAGCTACAATTAACTTTCATCATTTGTAAACACATTAGGAAACTATAAAGACACTCGCACACAAACACTTTCAAAGCAGGAAAACAAAACAAACCACTGAATCAGCCATGTGTGACATGACCGGAAGATTCAATATCCAAGATTAATCGCTACATAGAAATTTCGCCTCACATAAGGTTCGAAACTAGCATTTAGATTACAAATCCGATGCTCTCCCTATTGAGCGTAGGAGCAAAAATCTACAGGTATCCAGGGACTCAAATGAAGAGAAAACACAATTTTATAGATACAAAGAAGTAGAATAAACATCTACAAACTCTGTTCTGGGAAACAAAGATAATCACCCATTATCTTTTGAAAAAAGATTTGGTGCACTGGTCATAATGACCATTTACTATATCAGCCTTGAAGTTAAGAACTAGATAGAACCCTCAAGTAACTTCGGAGTTTATTAATATAGAGCACAATACATGTAAACATTCTTTACCTGTGTAGCCTATGTTAGCGCCATCACTTGTTTGCACAGGCCCTCTTCCTGGATACAACTGTCTTGGAGCCATCCGCAAATGACTTGCTTCTTGGTTTGGAACCATATGCTCATTTCCTACACCAATTTCTTGGGAATGAGTAGGCCCATATTGTCTTGTTTCTTGAGTGGGAACCACATAATTAGCAGGCCAAACCTGTGGACGAACTTGCTGAACAACTTGAACCATTTCTGGAGGTTTTTGAAACATCTGTGCCTCTGATTGCACTACATTTTGAGCCATATGTTTACGCTTCTCGTCAAACTGGGGATCCATTCTTCTGGCATACATCATTCTGGGTTGTTGGTCCATCATTGGTTGTCTTGGAACCTGAACTAGAACTGGCATTCTCTGACGACCAGTGTAGGGAGGAGGTGGCATCAAACGCTGCCTGGCATTTATTTGACCTAGTAGCTGTTGCTGAAGCCTTCCAGCTGCATTTCGACCCGCAATGTTGATTTTTTCAGTAGCAGGTGCTTCAGCATTGTCCAATCTCTGTCTTTTGGACACAGCCTGGTGTAATTCCTTCTGTATGGCTCTTTCTTTACTTTTAGGACTCTCAACTGGTCTAGGTGCTGAATTTGATCTTTTACTAGGAATATCAGCAGTTAGATCAATAACTTCTATAACGTCAGGTCCCGAGTCATTTTCTACAGGTTTTGAATTTCTTAACAATGCTGGAGGTCGTAAGACACTAGTTTCATAAAACTGGTTACTTGTAACAAGTGATCTAGGCCTGCAATGAGCTCTGATGGGGGATGGTAAACCAACTTGAGCACCATGGTGATCGATTGTTTTTTGTGGAGATACTGAAGAAACACCTGATGTTGATGGCACACTTACCTGGGTATCAGAAGGTGAATGAAGTGGACTATTACTTCCATGAAAATCAACTGAAGTTGCCCTGGGTGGTGTAGTGCCTGTTGATGTTGGTGTACTTGGAAGGCTGTAAAACCTAGGTGATGGAGTCCAATCCCCTGATACTTCTCGTTTTCTATATTTACGTGCTGATTGAACAATCAAATGCCCAGCAATTCCAAAAGGTCTCTTGTTATGTGCTGGTTTCGGGGGTCTTTTTTCCCAAATTCTTGGAAAAGGTTTCAAAATCTCCTTCGGGCTAAGAAATACAGGGTTCTTTTTCCTAAGAAATGGAGTTGTTTTATATGATACCGGAGGGTGAATTGATGTACTTTTACACATTCTTTTCATTGTTTCTCTTGATGTAGGACTTTGGTTATGAGCTGGCTGTGGTTTTTCACCTTTATGGATTTTTCTTGGTGGTGACCTGTAATGAGCAGGCTTCAATTCGACAAACTTTTCTCTTCCTCTACGTTGAGCAAGTCCTCTAGACCTATATACATCAGAATTAATGCCATGGTTTTGCTTTTGTGCCATTTGTTTTGCAGTTTCCAAATTGAAATTATTTCCTTGAGCAAATGATTGTTGGTCTTGCTTATGCATTGATTTTTTACATGAGGAGAAACTTCCTCCAGGAGGTATATTAGGTGTAGATAACTGTAACTGAGGTATAGTATTTTTTGCAACAGGTAGGTTGGTAATTTGTCCCTCACTTCTCTGAGGTATGTTTTCCTTAGAATTCATTTTATTCATACATTGACTTGGTGGTCCGATATTGTTGGGCTGTAAAGCCTCACTTCTAGTAGGTTCTGGTATGTTTTTTCTTTGCACATTTGAATCACAGTCAGAAGATTTATTATTACTTATTTCACTATGAAACACTTTTTCCAGGAATGTCGGACTTTTCTGACTAGATGAACATTTATTTTTTTCCAAATTCAATGGGAATTCTCCAACATTGCAACTATTGTTTATTGAACTTTCTTTGGAACTAATAATACTACTAGATGATATTGAAGAGATCAATGATTTTGTGGCTGAAGACATACTTAATTGTAATGATCTTTCTACAATTGAACATGTTACTGTTGATACAACAGATGAATCACTTGATGTAATGACTGAGTTCAATGTCATGGGACAGGTTATTGAGTTAACAGATGACTGGTCAATGTTTCCTGTTACACTTGTTAAAGGTGTCACAGTACATGAAGAGACTGGTGTCTTTTTTGTTTTCAATTCTTCACTAGAAATATTCTCAACAGGATCATTATTATCTTTTTCTTCCGTTTTTTCCTCTTCGGATTGCATTTCTAAGTTACTATCTACACTTTTTTTCTCAGATATTTCTTCTGAATCCACATTTTCTTCATTTTTAGTATCATCATATATTTCCGATTCTTCATCTTTTGAGGTATCCTCAGCTTTATTTGTTGATAAATCTAGATACTCAACACCTTCTACATCCTCGTTTATTTCATATTCACCAGTGAATGGATTAACCAATCCAATGTCTTCTATGTAATTAATTCCATCACATTTATTTTCTGGGTAGTTATCTACAATAGCAGAATTTTCTTCATCAAAACACTCATATTCACTTTCATTTTCTTTGTCTAAATTACTTTTAGTTTCTTTAACATTATCAGATAAAAGAGAGTCCTCATTGTTGTTAGTTTCTGTGATGGAAATTATACCATCAGAAACAGTTAAAGATAAATTTTCTCTAGAGAAATTACTTATTTTGTTAGATTTTAAAGCAACAGAGAGATCTACAGGAGTATCAGAATCAAACACATCATCATCATCCACTTCTTCAACAACTTCTGATAGCACTACATCTTTGCAAGGCATTTCATTATCTTTTTCACTTTCTTCAATGTTTGGAACTGTTTTCTTTACATCCGTTATTTCTCCTTTTGCAGATTTAGTTGATTCATTAATTTCTTTTTTATCACCATTATCAGAAAGTTCATTACTATCTTTTTCTTTTTCACATTTATCATCACTCAAAACTTCAGTTCCTGTTTCCTTTAATTTACTATTACTTTTTGCTTGTTTCATTTTTTCCAGAAGCTCTATCTTTTTCCTCCTCATTTCTTCTTGTTCTTGTTCCTTTCTCTTGATTTCCTTGTCCAATTCCTCCATCTGCTTTTTAATTTCATCATCAACTTCTTCTTCAGTATTTTCGGAGTTCCCAGCAGGCAACCCTTTTTCCCCTGAAAAACTTGAATGATCTTGTTTAGAATCAATAACACTATCAAATTGTTCTTCACTTAGACCTGACTTTTCTTCTGTCTGTTTTAAATTCTTATCTTCAGTCTCTTCTTTTTTCTCTTTGGTGTTATTTCGATACTTAGAGGGAGACATCTTTTGTTTCTTATAAGATAATTGTACCTTTTTAGTTTGGTAAGACTGGTTAGACTGCTGACTTAAAGGTGATAAATTTGAAGGTTTGGGTAGAATAAGTAGAGGAGGAGGTGCTGAATTTACTGGTCGACAAATCGGAATTTGTACTGGAGAAGTATTCATCTGTGTTTGATTCATATTCAAATTCATTGGTTGTCCTTGAATAATACTAGCAGATTGATTAGACGCTATGTGCTCGGAACCAGCATTACTGTAAGTATAATTAGAGATCAAAGTCTGGTTTCCGGCCTGATATATTGTTATCGGTATTAACTGATTTTGGATATGCACTGGCGAGGATTGCTGGCATAGTGGATTAATACTGGATGATTGAATCTGAACAATACTTGACTGAAGCTGTGGCATACTTTGTATATATCTTCCTGGTTGTAATGTATTTCGAATATTTTGTACAAATGGTTGAATGGGTATAACCATTCCATTTCCAAAGTTGGACGCAGATGTGCTTGTCACAGTGATACTCCCTGTCGAAAGCTGTGCCAATGTAGATAATACTGTCACAGGTATCTGTGAAGTTGAAAGTTGACTATTTGTTGCAAAGGTCACTGAAGGGTCAACATTTGACCTAATTTGATCCGATTTGGAAACTTGCCCCGGCCTAACTCCGGAATCAGCCTGATGTATTTCAACATGTGATGAGAAAGCTTCGGACTCCTGAAAAAAAATGTTACAATATTTTTCCTACTCATACATTTGTAAGCAACTTGTCTATAAAATTAATTTAATTTTAAATACCTAAACAGTTAAATTGAACATGAAATTTTATACAAATATAGAAGGGAGCCTCCATATTTACTTTTTTAAAATGATGGCCAGCATGACGATAAGGACAAAGGAAAATTTCTATAATATCCCCTATATACCCACTCCCCATCCCAAAAAGATAGGTAAAATTGGCAATTTTTCAAGCTTTACGGTAGAGGAAAAAAGCACTTTTGGGCACAAATGGAACTGAATAGAACCCCCAAAAATTCTGAAAGCGGGATAGCTACTTACATGAAAAATCCAAAGAAAAAGGGCCAAACCTAAGCATGAAGGAAATTTTTTGAATCAATGCCCTTTTAGGGCTCGGCCAAGGGGACACCCCTACTTGTTTAATCAGTTCATTTTTTTTCTTTCCTTTATCAATTGTGGGGAAATTAAAACTTAGTCTGTCAACAGTATAGAGCCTGGTCAGACTGCTTGGATATGCAAGCAAATCTGAAAATCAAGCTGTGGCTAAGTGGTTAATGCGCCAAACAATTAATCTGAGGATTTGTAGCCACATTGGTTCAAACCCCATCAGGGCAAGTCTTTGTTTCTCTGAGCAAGAAACTTTTCACTCATTGCTTAGTACTGGTTGGTTCCAGGGACAAATTCTTTAGTGTTTCAATAAGCTAACAGCTTCCAACACAAAGTCAAATAAATTAGTAATAAAACTAAAGTCAAGCTGACTGGGCTTACACAAATGTTACAATTACCTCTTTATTTTCTACAGCATGAAGGGAGACGTGGGTTTGAATCTCCTGTGTTACTTCTAGCTTTACTTTTCCAGTCGGAGGTTTGTGGACTTGTGGGTGCACCAGCTGTACGGGCGGCTTGGCCCGTGGCCTAAAACTGATACAGCCAGATTCTGAAAATAAAGATTAAATGAATATTTACTTCAAATAAATGGCTTTTTCCCCCTCTTCCAATATTCCGACTTGTTTCCTTTTCTTTGCAGTGATTTTAATCAAATAAACTAAAAAGAAATTTGTCCTGAAAAAAATTTTTCCAGCCAACCTATTGATGACTCGTCAAGTTTTGGAAAATGACTAAGCTGGATCATAGTTGAAAGGTGGCCACAAAAGCCTGGTAATTATGTACTTTTATCAAGATAATGTTATTCAAAATATAAAGTTTCTTTAAAATGGTCAAGAAAAATCATTCAAACAGATGCAACTTTAAATATTACTGACAACCCTTTTACAATTTATTCATGTGTTAACAGAAAACGAATCACATTATGGTGGTGTCACTCCAGATCACAGCAGTTAGCAACATCAAATTTACCAGAGTACAGTTCAGTCACCACATCTTTCCTCAGGGCAGGTTGTCAAGCAGTTAACAAGTATTAGTTGCCTTCACTTTAACAAGGACTGATAACTTTTTTGTATATGCCAGAGCAGAGATACAGTGTGAATCGGGCCAATGAAGGGAATTTATGATTAATCACAATGAAAGTGACCTGCACTGTCCAAGAATCAAGGTCCAGCTCTCTACCTATTGGGCTAACCGGAAGGTGCCCATCACAGCAGATGGACTCATGACAGGTACCATACTGTTTGACAGTCATTGCTTTATCAATATTATCTCTTTTTTTTAAATTGGATAAAAGGAAAAATAAGCAGACAAGACAAGACATTTCCCAGAATGCAAATTCAAGGATTGTGCTGGGAGTGGTGGCAACTGTAACCTGAGAATGTGTCATTACAGCAAAAACAACCTATCCTGCAAATCACAGAATATTTAACTCCAGACTAATATTTCTTTAAATTTTAATTTCATATCTAGAAAGCTGACATAATAATTAAATTTTTGTGATTTTCTAGAAAATTTCACAAGGTTAAGAACTAGCTGCTTCAAATTAAATGAAACTTTCAAAATAAAACAACAACAAAAGAACAAGAAAATAACCCATAAAGATCAAACAGTATTATGATCAAGGAATATGATTAAATACCACATAATTACACAAAGTAGTTCCTCCACCTGGTAAATTTATGGTCAAGGTCATATCTAAATTAATAATTCCACATGTCTTTTTGATCACAAGTGCTGTTTTATCCATGTATGAATCAAATCTGTACATAAATAACAAAATTATGACAACTTAATAACCAAAATTCAATACTTTGACTTTGACAGTTCAGATCAAGGTCAGTTTAACCTGGTAATAACTTTATGTTAATAGATTTGCCTTGCTTTGAATTTGCAATGCAGAGTAGTTTTTTTTTTTTTTTCATCAACGTTAAAACAGTTTGAGCTACCAACAGTATAGAGACTGGCAAGACTGCAAAGATGATCTGGCTGGGTTGGTTTTATACTGATTTTATACAAGTGGCATTATTAAGGCTCATACATGTATTTTATTGTTTTACGGCCATACTATCATATATGGATGTTAAAAAGTGTCCTGCTTTAAACATTTAAAAGTGAAGTGTTACTTTAGCGAGTTTTGAAACTAAAATGGAGCTTATAAAATAAATAGGGTTATACTTTACGGTCATGAAGTAATGGCTGAATTTATCATAGTGGCAGCTGGCCTTACAAGGAAATTGTGGTAACTGGAAGCTTTGCCTGACATTATAGCAATGCTGGTTGGCCCAATGTGATTATTGTAACAACTGGTCTGACTTGAAAATTTGTGGCACCTTATAATAGTGGTAGCTGGCCTGATGAGATTAAAGTGGCAGCTGCTGACATCTGGCCTGACTTAATAGTAGTCACAGCTGACCTGGCATGATAATAATGGCAGCTGCCTTTGATGAAACCAAAATGGCAGCTCAGACCTGATGAGATAATAGTGGCTGCTGAAGCTGTTGAGACTATGATAGCTGCAGCTGACCTAATGTGATAATAGCGTTTGGTCACCTTTTTGAAGTTTTGATCACATCAACATAGTGATGGTATTAGAACGATTTCTCTAGATAGTCAATTACATAGTACTGGTATGTGGGGTTACAGTAACAAAATTTCGATCTCCCTAAATATTTCAAGGCAAATATCATACTCTTAAACAAGTTTTTATTTTTTATCATGCAAGAGAAAATGAAGAAACTTTTATCAATGGAAAATATGAAGTATAGGCCTTGAGATTATAATTAACTTTTTCTTTCTCAAATTTAATTTCTAGCTCTTATTCAACATCATGTTTCTTTAATGAATGTCTTTACTAATTCTTTATAGATTAAAAGAACGAAATAGAAAATATCACCATGGAAACGATGCAAGTATCTTTCATACTAATTGTATATTTCAGGTATTATTATGAAACAAAACATTGCCACCGTCCAAGTAATAATTATCACTTAATTTCTGTAATGACATGTTTTTGAAGCAAAATTTCTCTTGAAGAAAATTATCATGAAGATGAACTTTTTAGAACATTTGTTTTTACAGAGACATACAGAGTTAGAAAAGGTAATATTTATAGGAATAAATGAATTCATCAAAATAGCTTCGGATTACAAGAAAAATATGTTTCAAATCTCTTTATCTAAGTTTTCTTTCGGACAAAAAAATTATTTTTTTCTTTTTTTTTCTTTTTTTTGCATAGTTTTTTAAGTCACAACAACTCTTTGTAAAGGTCATACAAAAACTTTCCAGCTTTTGGAGGAAGATCTTAAGTACCCCTCTAACCATTATTTTTAGGCACAAGAAGGCACTTAAGTAGAACCACTGACTTTTCGTATTTAGCTAGCTGGATAGCCTCCTTACACAAAGAATCCAAAGTCCCTGTCAGGATTCGGACCAATAGCTTGTCAGAGGTAAGTGGTCAACAACTTTTACCACTTGGCCGAAGAGGCCCGATAAAATTAATATCATAGCATAAGTATAGCAGATGAGAGCCAATGACATTTCTCATTCACCTTTTTACCAATTAATTGGCTTATAATATCATTGGCTTTTTCAATTATAAGTATTACTATTATTATATAAAGCAATCATACAAACTGACCAGATTTAACCGAATCTAGAAGTCCGGTGTTCTTTGAAGGTACAACTACAGCAGGTGTGACGTCCGGTGTTGACGTAGTTAAATCAGTTGTCAAAGCTGTTTCAGGTTTAGTATCTAAACCAGTACACGAAGGTGACCATGCAGACGCAACAGTTGTTTCACAGTTTTTACTGACAGAGGTCAACGTTGTTTCCGTCACATTGAGGGCATCTTCATCCGTTACTACTGCTTTCTCCACATTCTCTACTCTCTCATCTAAATCAGTTGTTGAAATGTGTTCACCTAATTCTGCTTGATCAGTATTTAACCTGAAGATACAGAAATTCAATAAAACTATAAAAATTATATATCATGATATAAATTTCGTCATCAGGCATACATAGGAAAATTGAAATAAAAAGTAATTAAACACGAGTGGCATGAAATACATTATAAAACATAGATACATGTACATATATATCCTATTTAAGATATGATCTTTTGCCACCCACATGTCCTTATCCTTGGTGAGTAATTCAAAAAAAACTATATATATATAATCAGGCACAAAATGAATATTATAATTGTGTTATTACCATTTTTTGCTGCAAGCAAATGACAGTGAAACTTAAAAGACAATGTCATGCATTAATTATGTAAATAGAAAACCATATCTTTAAATAAATCAATAAAAATCTTGTATAACAAATGATGTCACACAAATATGTACATTTTATCTTTGTTACTATTTCAATTAATTCTGGCTTAAAAATCATAACCTTTGGTATGTTTACTGTTTTAATTCTGGCTTAAAATACCATTGGCCTTTTGACATTTCTAATTCTGGCTTATTATAAAAACCCTTGGCCTTTTACTATTTTAATCCTGGCATATAATACCATTGGCCATTTTAATATTTATATTCTTGCTAATAATATCATCGGCCCTTTTACTATTTTAATTTTGGCTTATTATTCCATTGGCCTTTTTACTATTTTAATTTTGGCTAATAATTCCATCGGCCTTTTTACTATTTTAATTTTGGCTTATAATTCCATTTGCCTTTGTACTATTTTAATTTTGGCTTATAATTCCATTGGCCTTTTTACTATTTTAATTTTGGCTTATAATTCCATTGGCCTTTGTACTATTTTAATTTTGGCTTATAATTCCATTGGCCTTTTTACCATTTTAATTTTGGCTAATAATTCCATCGGCCTTTTTACTATTTTAAGTTTGGCTTATAATTCCATTGGCCTTTGTACTATTTTAATTTTGGCTTATGATACCATTGGCCTTTTTACTATTTTAATTTTGGCTAATAATTCCATCGGCCTTTTTACTATTTTAATTTTGGCTAATAACTCCATCGGCCTTTTTACTATTTTAATTTTGGCTAATAATTCCATCGGCCTTTTTACTATTTTAATTTTGGCTTATAATTCCATTGGCCTTTGTACTATTTTAATTTTGGCTTATAATTCCATTGGCCTTTTTACTATTTTAATTTTGGCTTATAATACCATTGGCCTTTTTACTATTTTAATTTTGGCTTATAATTCCATTGGCCTTTTTACTATTTTAATTTTGGCTAATAATTCCATCGGCCTTTTTACTATTTTAATTTTGGCTTATAATTCCATTGGCCTTTGTACTATTTTAATTTTGGCTTATGATACCATTGGCCTTTTTACTATTTTAATTTTGGCTTATAATCCTATGTGCTTTTTTAAAAAAAAATTCTGGCATATAATACCATTATTTAATTTTTACTATTTCTCCAGTTTATAATACCATGGGCTTTTTCAACAGTATTATTAATATGCTTTGATATATGAACTGACTGAAATTAGGAGTCTTGTGCATTTTGTTACACTGTGACCATGAGTTTTTACCATAATGTTAATATATTGCAAAATGATACTATTTCAAATATGAATTTTCAAAATATTGGATGTAAATTATTGCTAAAGTGGTCTTCCATACCATGATTAAGATTGTACTTTACTTATTGCAAATTATTACATTTTCTTTCAAGATCATGAAGATGCTGCAGAAAAAACTAAATCTTCAATATTCTAAAATAGTCCATTGATTGAACAAAAGCAACATATTTTCTATACTTGTTAATAAAGAATTCATTAAACCAATTTTTTTTGTCTGAAACATGCTCAACTTTCTTGACATATAATTAAATATTTCTACTAATAAATACATCATTAGCCATGCCAAATTCGGACAGTTTTTGAGACCTGATTTTCCTTATTTGAAACTGTCAGGGGAATTGGTTAATTTCACCCACGCTTGTAAATGGTTTTCATTAGTCTATAAACATCATGCATTCAATTAAGGGTACTTTAGAAAGGTTCTTCTTATCTTACAAACAATCACGTGCAGATGATTATATTACCAATTACAGAAAACTAAATATATAAATAGTTGCTTTAAATGTTAAAGGCCCATTATCCCCCAACCGGGATATCAGCTTTTATTTCTCAAATGCCTTGAAGTTGCCTTCATTTATTAAATCGGTGTTAATTAATTTTTCTACGACAAAAGAATGATTATAATATATCAATAAAACAGTATTCTCACACATAGCATACAAAGAGTACTGTCAAAACACATGGCTGTGCAAGTAGTCAAAACACATGAGTGTTTAAGTAACAAGAGCTGTAACAGAAGACAGCTAAGCTCGACTAATGAAATACTGGACGCAGTAAGGAAGACAAAACTATGGAAAAAAATAATCAATTATGTATAACTTAAATAATGTATTAAGTTATGGTAAAACAAGGGTGCCATTATGAGTCACAAAATACGCCCGTTTACGAAAGCTTTAGATTGAGATGGGGGCATTATGGATAAGTGTTATCTAGCAAGCAAGTTTTTATCCTTGGCACTGTGTTGTTAAATGAACCTTAAAACAAATCAGTAGGGAAGATATGCACAGGATGTGTTACCTTGACCTTGGTCGCAGGGACCTGAATAATGCACGGCACTCAGCCTCACAATGATGAACATTTGTGCCAAATTATATTGAAATCTCTCTATGCATGTAGAAGTTTTGCTCCAGACAAGCGTTTTGCTATGAGCTCTAACTGTGACCTTCACCTTTGACCTAGAGACTTGGTTCATGTGCAGGGCACTCATCTCATGGTGGTGAACAATTCTATAAAGTAACATTAAAATTCCTCCATGCATGTAGAAAATATCGCCCCATTAAAGCAAAAAGGTACCAAGTGACATTTTCATGTTTTCGAGAAAATCGCGTTTAAAGATTTGAAGTTCAATATCAAATCAGGTTTTCTCAGCATGGAAAAGAAACTTCACATATATTTAGATAATATTTGAATGTACATGCTCAAAAAGTTGGAAAGCTTATATATTACTAATAAGTGATAATTAATCAATTAAAGGCAATGGTTCCTTTTTGCACTAATAAATATTTTGACCGACAAATGCAAGAAGGTACCATATGATCGCTTAGCCCCTTTTTGCATTAAATGATTTTTAAAATTTGCTGTCGAATATGTCAAAAAAAGGTACCATATGGCAGTTGGCACCTTTTTGTCCCAACAATATTAACAAAAAGCATCATTTAGTTACAGTTTTATTCTACAATGATGCAAATAAAAACATGAAATTCTTGCGTTTTCAGTAAATAACTGATACAACTATCACATTGCATGTTTTGAAAGTCTTCCTCTGTGATCAATCTCAATGCCTATGTCAAATCTCTTACATTGTTAGTCAAAATCAGAATCATTCACATCCGATTCCATCGTGACATAACCCTTTTCATTCAGTGGCATTATAATTATGGAACTCTTTTGGGATAATTTTCTTTGCACACAAAGTAACCAAGTCATTTTTCTTTTAAATAGAAACTAGCGGTTTAGTATCATAACTTCATATCTTGTTCACCATTTGTCCACTGATACTTTCTTTCTGTCTAGATTCTGTATTCTTAACTTCTATTTCCATAAAATCTTCAGCATTGAAGCTGTTATTTACAAAAACTGACTTTGGGCTTTCCTTTGGTATCTGTATCCATTCCACCTGTAGCCAGTTTACTCTTTGCCTGTCAATGGATGCTTTGAGTCTCGGACACTGTTTTTTAATGAAGTATTTGAAATCAAAAACATGGTTATATTTCATTGGCACAGCAATGTTTGGCTGTGATTTTCTGGCCAGTAATATAAGAGAACACAACTGGTACATAATTATACAGGAATTGTTTTCTTTGCCCCTTCAAGAGTCAAGTTGTCACTCCGTCTGTGTGTGAACCGATACAAGAAATTTGTGATGATCAATCTTAAACTTGGAACTAGTGATAATATAAAAGAAGAGACGCAGCTACGAATTAATTTCTGTTTTGTCCCCCATATGAATCTGAAAAAATGACTTATTTGACATTACCACTCTGGCAAGTAAAAAAGGGCTTTTATTAAGCAGGAAGCTATTTCACATGCCTCTCCGTGCAGTTGGTTTTATCCCATACATGAAATACAACATTTTTGTTTCATATAGAATTTGTGTAGCAAAAGTTTTCTTGAATAGTAAAGCTCACTCATTAATGAGCAAGGGGTTGTTACAACGGCCTTGAGATCAAAACATGCAACATAAACGCATGTGTCACCTTTTGCTCCAACTTTATTTTTAACCTTTACTTCTTGTGAATTTTCTTTCTGTTTTTGATGTTCAATATATTGTTCATTGATCGTGCCATCTAGTGTGCCTACTGTCTTCCTATACGTATGTTGCTTGACAGGATTTTTTCCTTCTTTTCACATTCAATAGTTTACAGTTTCCACATCTTTTTAATGTTTAAGTCATAGTCATGAGGTATTGTTACTTTCAGTGTTTTTTCTTTGTATAATGAGATTTCGTTTTAGGAAATTACTTTTTATGCCGTTTCACCAATTTAACTGTATCATAATCTAGTTTATTTGCAGATGTACGCTTCCCTGTCATGTTTCTCCTTCCATATAACCCATGTATCTTGTTGACAAAAGTATAGTCAATTACTTTTCTTTTAACGTCCACGTTTTTATGAAGAAGTCATTTATACAATATAATTACCTTCACACTGTAATCATTCCTCAATTTAAAACAGAAACAATAATCTGGGATATAGTGTTATATTTGATGTCCTTATCAACATCTAAATTGTGTATTCATTAAAAAGCTAAAAGGTACCAAGCAAACAATTTAATATATAAAATTATCTTAAGGGTCGTAAATTCTTTGTGTGCAGAAAGGGACCATGTGACACATGGTTCCTTTTTGCATAAAAATAAGTGCTCAAAACTTATATAGTCATTCA